CTTAGAATTATCACTCGAAATTCCTTGTCAGTTATTTCAAGGGCTTCTTGTTCTATAGGAACTAGAGCTTGAGAGTTATTACCCTTTGGTGGTGTACTTTCTTGATTTTTTGTATTTCTGGTATCTTTTCTTTGATGTTTATTCATTGTGTCAGGGGGTTTCACAATCCACAGGTTTGACACTATTGTCTGGCTAGGATGTTGCTGGGGTTGCCAATTTGGTATGGCTACCTCAGTGTCTGCTCAGTTGGCCACTAGTACCTTGCATGTGTGGTTGCCTCAGGTCTTGGGCCTCTCCAGGGAACCACCTCTCTGGTCAGCATGCACTCGGCCAGGCTGCTAGGTCACGCAGTTGCACCACAGGGCGTGTGGTCTCTGCGGAGCTTCCACCTCCCCTGCTGGATGTCTCCCTGCTCTGTGCGCACTGGGCCAGGCTGTGGATGGAGACGGGTGGTGGCGGTGAGGCCTACCTGCTGCATCAAGTGGCGGCGGCACCATCACAGGCTTCAGACATTTTCAAAGAAATTAATATAAATTTTGTCTCCATATTTTAGAATATATTTTATCTTTTAAAACGAAAAGGAAAATATCCATTCAGTTCATAGTAGGACTTTCTGTGAAGGTCAGAGGAAGATATCAAGATTGTAAGTGGAGGTACTGTATACATAGTGTCCCAAGAACTGATATCCTCATGCTTGTGGGTATGTTTTTCTTTTTTTCTTTTTAAGTAATAACACAGAAAAAAGACTGAAGGGAATGTGCCAGAATGTTAATAATTCTTGTAGTTAATTATGGGTGATTAGAATATCTGTGGTTATTTTCTTCTTTGTATGTTTTCTGGGTTCTTTTTAAGAAACTCAAGGAAAAAAACAACAGCTGTTTTGTACAAAGAAGTATGCTGGGACTATAGTACACACAATAAAGATAAAGACATGCCTTTAGAGAGTTTACAGTCTAGTGAGCAGAAACAGACAGCAAAGTGCCAAGGATAATAACACAAAGCTAAATTAAAACATTATTTTCATTTAGGTACAAATAAGGTATATCTTGGTTTACATTTCCTCATGTTCCTGTCCCAGTCAATAATCAATACTCCCTTATTGGGAAGTGAAAAAAGAAACCATGAGAACATTTAAAAATGCATCAGAGGAATAACTCAAAAGTTTCCTGGCACTATTATGGTATTAGATGTAAAAGGGACCAGAAAAATAAGGGATTGTATTTGAAGGAAAATTTCAGAAAACATATAGTACTTAATTTACTATGCAATATAAATCTCTCAAGACCTAAGCAGCTAGTATTTCTAAAAGACAACAAACCCACTGAATTGTAGTTTTCATGGAATGTTCATCAATAGGGACACTAAGAATATAGCTTTGTTAACTGGATGCTCAACTCACCAAAGAAGGATGCCATCTGCAAGCGATTTGAAAAGACTGCCATCATTGGGATTCATGGGTAAAAGATGCTTACAGTCAGGGTCATTCTCTAAGGCTTTGTTTATCCAGTTCACAAAAGCCACCTTTTCTTCCTCTGAAAACAGAAAATCTTGGTAGGCAAACCTCATCTCACAAAATGTATTGCACTATATGCATTAAAGAAAACATACTTTTTAATTTCTGCTCAAAGATAATAAATGACAATTATTAAACACTAAAGCATTTAAGAAAAGGAGAAAGGGGAATTCATTCCACTTTTTCACCAGATATATTAGAATAGAGGAAGGTATTTGCTAAATGAGCACAATAAATATTCAATTAGATTCTAAAGTCTTTCCAAATATGTATTGCTTCTGAAAGCTAATGAATCAGAAGTAGGTCATCAGTGGTCGAATAAATATATATTTAAATAAGGGGAAAAAAAATACAAGAAATGAATATCCATGGCAATAAATTCTACCCCTCCAAAAGAGATTTAGAGAGCTGTGATTTTTGGCTTACAACAGAAATTCTGAATTCAGTCAAGAGTTATTCAACTCAATAAAACAGCTCCATTTCTGTGGAATTTTTTCTATAAGAAAACTGACAAAAAGCTAGATACCAGCACTACTCTTGGCCATCTTCATCATCTACCTCTTAACACATAGCTTCTAGTGTGGATAGTTGCTGGGCTGTGCAATGGGAAAAATAGGAAGGAACTTAAAGCAAAAATGTTCTACAGCTTTGTTATTATTCTGTAAATATAAAAATCATTTAACAATATAAATCCTTAAAGTAAATGATCTCCATTTCCATCAGAGGGTAGCCTTCCCCATTAATTGCCCTAGTCCCTAGAATTAGGTAATTTTCCTAAGGACGTATTTGGCAAGTACCCCCAAAATTTAATCCATTGCACAAACACACACACACAGAGTCAATAAAGACACAAACATTTACTAATATTTCTATTTTGTACATATCATACCTTCTTACCTTCTTACCTTCTTGCCTCACTATACATACCTCCTTAGAGGGACTTAGAGTCTAGGGATTTAAAGATCACAAAGGTATTATACCTGCCGTCAGGGAATTTTCAGTGTAATGATAAAACAGATATACAAAGAAATGCATCATAAAGGAAATACACATCATTATAGATGTATATATACTGTTTTAAGAATTTTAAGAAAGAAATAATCACTTCAGGTTGAGGTGATCAAGAAAAGGCTTTTTATGGAAGAGGTACCACAGTATCTGAAAGATAGGTTTTCAATAGATGAGCATGGAATGCGAGGATGTTCCAAGAATGTAGGAATCAGGAATGAGATACCATGTCACGACCACTAGGATGGCTGTAATAAAAAAATGAAAAAGTGTTGGCAAGAATGTGACGAAATTGGAACCGTCATACATTGCTGGTGGGAATGTAAACTGGTGCAGCAACTTTGGAAAACAATTTGGTAGTTCTTTAAAATGTTAAACATAGTTACCAAATGATCTAGCAATTCCACTCCTAGCTATTCTTAAGAGAATTCAGAGTATATGTTTACACAAAAATGTGTACACGGGTGGTCATACAGTATTATTCATAATAGCTGAAAAGTAGAAATAACCCAAATGTCCATCAACTGATGAAAGGATAAACAAACTATGATATTACCTAAATAATAAAATATTAAGCAATAAACAGGAATGAAGTACAATATACTCATATGCTACAACGTGAATGAAACTTGGAAATGTTATGCCAGTGAAGAAGTCTGTCAAATGAAAGGCAACTACGGTATGGTTCCATTTATATGAAATTTCCAGAATAGGCAAGTAGGTTAATGATTGCAGAGGCTTTGGGAAAGGGAAATTGGGGGGCGGGGGACTGCTAATAAGTATGGGGTTTCTCTTTAGTGTAATGAAGGTGTATTAAAATCAAATAGTGATGATAATTGCACAACTGTGAATATACTGAAAACTATTGAATTGTACACTTTAAAAGGGTGAATTTGATGGTATGTGAATTATATCTTAATAAAACTATTTTTTTAAAAGCCATTAAATGTTCTGTATCTTGTTCTAGTTAATAGTTACATGGGTCTATTCATAGGTAAAAACCATCAAGCCATATACTTAAGAATAGTGCACTTTACGCACTTTCTCATGTGTATGTTATACCTCAATAAACAAGTAAAAAAAAAAAATCTATGGTGATACACATCAGAAAAGTGGTTGCCTCTGAGGAGGAGCAGTTACTGTTAAGGGCATGTGGGGGCCATTCAGAGTGACTGAAATGTTCCATGCCTTGATCTGGTTGGCAGCTACAGGGATATAGCTACATGCATGTATACACATGCAAAAATTCACTGAGCTGTACACTTAAGATTAAAGCACTTTGCTGAATGTATATTATACCTCAATAAAAAGTTGTTTTTCGTCTTTTTAAAACAAGCCATTTCAGTAGAATAAACAAGCAGAAACTGAGTTAAGGGATGAATACATTTCAAAGAGTGGAGGTAGCAGTTATAGATCACTGACTTTACCACTACTTCCCTAGTAAGAAAAGGTTAAGAAAAAATACAACAGATGGGAGAAATTTGAGCATATTTTTAGAGGAAAATCCAATTAGGAAGGAAGAAAATCAAGAGGATAAATCAGATCTCAAAGAAAGAAAGAGGAGAAAAGGTTACAGGGAATTTTATCAAAAATTTAAAAGCAGGGCTGGCTGGTTAGCTCAGTTAGTTACACCAAGGTCACAGGTTCAGATCCTCATTCTGGCCAGACGCCAAAAGAAAAAAAAAAAAAAATTAAAAGCATAGTTCTAATTATGTTGATATGAATAAAAAGAACCTGGCCAAAGGTTCTTAGACATCCTGACCATGAGAAATAAGCTACCACACGGCAAGATACCTCATCTTAAGAGTTAATGTGACTCTGGATTTCCCACTGGGCAACAATCCAGTGGTTCTATCAGATCAAGCAAATCAGGTGCTGTGCTCTCTAGTCACTTGGTTGCTTGATAAAGATGAATCAGGTATCTCAGCTACTGGAAAATGAAAAGGCAAAATCCTTATAATAAGCCTCTCCACCATTTCTAGATCAGATCTGAAAATAAAGCCACCTCACCAGTCAAGATGAAAAACCCCTTCAAAAGCCATTATTAAACGCATCCAATGCTGAAACATAAATAACTTCCATTTTGCTGTTTTTAATCTCTTTGATGTGCACTGAACCTGACACATAGTGAGAACTCATTGATTTCAATGATTCTAGGATTTTTCATCTCAACATCTCTGAAATTGAAATGAACTTCAAATGATGGCATGTTATAATTTAATCTGCAGTATTTTTATCCCTCAATGGTACATAAAATAATGGTTATAAATCACAACAAATGTCATCTTAAATTTGATGAAATATGCCACTTACTGAATGAATCAGTGACTAAAAGATCAAATTTGAGGTAGTAGGTTACCTGAATAAGAGTGCTGTGTGCCCTCACTGGAAATGGGTGAAGTTCCTCCAATAGCAGTAATCCCTTCCCTCTTGTTAATTATTTTTCGGAATGTTTTGCTGATATCCTTGCTTTTTAATTCTTGCATTAGCTAGAATGGAATAAAAGTAAAATTGAGAATTGATCAGGTAATTATAAAAAAACTGATGACATGAAGGATATTTATTTAGACTTCATTATTTGAAATAACACCAAAATAAATACTAATCAGGTGTTCTCACACCTACTGCTTGTATACACAGATAATTCTCATGTCATTTTACCAATTACACAAAATGGACAAATGTTTGCACCCCAACCACTGGAACAAATTTTGTTATAACTAAGCTTAGACTGAACACACTGAAATTATTATTCTTAACTTGCCATGACATTTTGTACTGAAAAGCCTAAGAAATAACAGAAATAACTAACTACATGATAAAGACAGAAGAATGCCTTAATGCAGGTATTTTCTTGCCCGAACATCTCAAATGTATACGTGTTAAAGTAAATAAGTCAGCTCTCATAAGAAATAACATAGGCTTACAGAAACTCTTTTCAACCACTCTCTCACTGGGCTCTTCAGAGGTTGGCAAGACTAAATCCAAACAGTCCTCCATGCAGCACCTAGAGTGATTTGATTTTCTAAATGCAAATCTGATCATGTCACTGTACATTCTATTCCTCCCACTTCACTGGCTTCCTGTTGCTCTTAAGATGAAAACAAAAATCTTACATGGCTCTGCATGACCAGATCCCAACTTACTTCTCCAGCTTCATTCCTTACCCATACCACCTCAGCCTTAGCCACGCTAGCCCTTTTTTCAATTGCTTGAGCGTATCCATCATCTTTGAAGGCATAGGGCCTCTACATAGGTTGTTACCTCTGCCTGCCTCCCATATTGTTCAATCCATCATTACCCCCTTTTTCCTGTTTAACATCTTTCTTTAGATTTCAGCTCAGCTTTCATAGCTTCGGGGACACCTTCCCTGAGTCCCTGGGTTCTCCAGCCTCTCCTCCAAGTTCAATTCCTTCTACTACAAACTCTCATAGAACCTGTACTGCTCTATCATAGCAATTATGATAGTTGTAATCTTTTATCCATTTGTATGATTCTGTCTTTCCAGCCGAATATAATTCCATCAAAGCAGGGACCATGTCTCTTTCTGCTCTTCACATTCTGCACAGTGCCTAGCAAATTTTCTGGGAAGAGAGGAGCTCACATATCTGTTTAAAAAGGAGTGCAAAGCCAGACCACTTATATTAGATAAATATCTATTCAATTATATTTATTGCCAATAAGCTTTGAACTCAACTGTAGTTATTCTAGGGCATAAACAGCTACTATCAAACCTGACTTCCATTCCAACAATTTGAGAATGATTTTTTCCTTTGTTTTATGAATTATTGTTAGTATTTGTTGTTATCATCATCATTTTAAAGCAGTACTTTTTCTGGCCTCTGCAGCCAGATCTAACCAAACCTAACAATGACATTATCGAAATTCTGCTTGAAGCAAAATGATTAATAGGCAGGAGAGGGTTAGATTACTTACTGACACAAACTCTTCAAAACTGATTTTGCCGTCTTTGTTGCTGTCTGCAACTGCTAGAATCTTCTCCACAATCTCTCGTACCTTGTAGCCAGGCAGGGGAAGGCTTGCTTCCTTAAACAGGTCCTGGAGTTCATAGTCACTGACATACCCACTGTTATCAATATCTGTAAAGATGTATTATGAGCTGTCAAATACCTTTTGCACTCTTTGCTAAAGATGTGCACTCAGAAGGCCATTTGGGAGATTCACAGGCACACAGAACATTTCATATTTCTTTCATAAGTGGCAGTAACCTGTTTTCCTGCACTTCAATTGTACAGTGTGTGCTATACATTTTATCAAAAAACTCATATTTAAAAGGAGTTATCCCCATAGATTTAGGCCCACCATACATATTTTAAGTGTACAGTATAGACGTTGCTCTAACAGACAGAAAACCCAGTTTTAGCACATGACTAAGTCTCAGAGACATAAGCATGAGGAAGTCTCAGACATCTAAAAGAAATATATCAGCAATGATCAAAAAGGAATACCCACACAGATTTTTAACTTCTTGATGGAGTTTACAAAACGGATCTGCTGATCCCACATTCCATATAAAATATGTGTATCATGTAAAATACACATAAAGCATTTTTGTTCTGCATTTCACTTGGAGGTGGTTCTGTTTCATTTGTTAATAATTCATTGCTGCTTCATTATGTATTTATGATACCATTATGTATGCTGAATCATGTGTGATGTCATTTTGAGATTAGGTGTTCAAGAAATTTCACACCTATATTTAGACTTTTGGAAACAGGTTTCCAGCTATTTTCACATCATCACTGAAATGCTCTTCCCTGGGTTTTCCCTAGAGACTAGATATTACTTTTGACTCAGAACAAAAGCAACACAAAACATTTCTGCCCAGAGGTGGCAACAGAGTTTTGGTTGTTCTGTTTGTTGCCTGGATCTACCACCTTGTATAGGCCCTCTTTGGTCCTCTGGTAATAGTTACTTAGTATTTCTTTTTTTTCTTCAATAAAAGAGCTGATAACCACCAATAACTAAAATATTGCTATAATCTCAAAAGTCAGCTAGTATGTAATAATAATATTGCTTTCTTTGAATTTAAAGCAAAATCACATTATTAGTACATAACCTGTTCAGAATTGTTTCTCGTACTTCTGAAATATACAAATAACCAAGTTGGCTCAGTTCCATACTAGAAATATTTGAAAATAAACAAGATTGAGGAAGTTATTTACCTGCGAACCATCTAGGTGCTTAAATCCCAGCTAGATCTGTATGACCTCTGTGGTTTTGGTATAATATATCAAGAACTAATGGATACAATTTAATGAACATATATTCTGTGTCAAGTGATTTGTTAAGAAGTTGACTTACCTTATTTCATGAAATCCTTACAACTTTGAGGTAGTTACTAATATAATTATTATTTTAAAGGCAAGAAAATAAAGGTTTAGGTTAAATAACCATAAAGACCATGGTTTAGAAAGGAAGACTTTCTAACAACTCAACAACAACAAACAATCCCATTCAAAAATAGGCAAAGGGCTTGAATAGGCATTTTTCCAAATATTTATAAATGGCCAATGAGCACAGGAAAAGATGCTCAACATCACTAATCATTAGGGAAATGCAAATCAAGACCAAAATGAGATACCACTTCACACCTGTGAGAATGGCTATTCGCAAAATAAACCCCAGAAAACAACAAGTGCTGGTGAAGAAATGGAAACCTTTGTACTTTGCTGGTGGGAGTGTAAAATGGTACATTCACTGGATACCTATGGAAAACAGTATATCCTTATAGATAAACATTTGTTCATATCCATGTTTACTCCTGTATGACAAATATCTCAAAGTGGAATTGAGATAGGAGGTGCTTGGTTTCCATGGGCTCGTGTTACAAGACACACCTCTGGGTTTCAAGCCACTCCCCAAGGTCTCAGGCCCAACCTCTAGGCCCTCTCCTAGATGAAAGTTACTGTTGCTACTGAGTCCTATTTTCAGCACTAACAAAGATGGTGGTGTCATTGTCCCAATGTCTATTCACTGTGCTCACTTTTCACTGGTTTCACCTTTCACTTGCATGCATTTGTAGACTAAAGCAAAAAACGATATTTATATCTCCCTTGTTTAGCCGTGGGTTTCCTAAGAGCAAAATGTAGAACCACTGAGATTCAATAGAGTATGAGGAAATTTTTTGGAAGAAAAATACAGAGCTGTCAAAATAATAATGTCATGAAGACAAAATGCTGAATGGCTTTAAAAAGTGAAAGAAGAAAAATAAGACATACAGCCTTTAAAAACAATACTAAGGCTTTTAAAATTACACATGAGGGAGAAGGAAAATAAGACATATGGCCTTCAAAAACTGTAGCAAGATTTTTAAAATACTCTGGATGAAGTCAGAAAGTGTTATTGCTAGTGACAAAGACATAAAGGCCAAAGTTCAGTTTATACACAAGGAAGTGTTTCTATATTTTTTCTCTGTAATGAAGATACCATGTTAAGTGCATTCAGTTACACTGTCATTCATTAACCTGGATTATTCTCTGCAAAGAAATAATCAAAGAATTCAAAGATCAATTCACCTAGAAATTCAAGCCAGTCTTAGCTTATCTTTCAGAAAGAATGAATCCAGTGAAATCTAGCAAGCAAGCAAGCAAGAAAGAAAGAAATCAGGGGTAACTGGGTGGAGGTAGAAGCAATAAAAGGTACTGTTCCATTCATGAAATCTGACATCAAGCTGAACAGCAACATCGTATTTACTTTCCCTCAAGCATACCTATTTTATTAAATGCCTCTTTTAGTTCTTCAAGCTCCTCCCGAGAAATGGTAGTGGTACTGTTTTCCATCTTCAGACAAGAAAGACTACCTTCAGGTCTTTATATCTAGAAAAAGCAATATTTTTAAAAGAATATTAGCCCTTTGGAAACATTTAGACAATATAAGGTACAAAGGAAGCATATTCTCTAGAAGTCATCCAAGAGGTGTGGTTGATGAGTAACAAATAGGAGTAGGTGCCGTGGTAACACTCCTTCCCAGCACAGGCTAGCCAAACAATAACTGAGACTCAGTATGGGGAAGAAATACTCGCTTTTCATACCTTGTGTTTTTACAGGGCACAGATATTTCTCAATAGCCTATATAAATTTCATTGACATTTTACCTTACTATTTCAGTAAAATCAAAGCATTTCAAGTTTGAGAAAGGTATAGCATTTATAAGTATAAAGGATGAGGTTAGACAGTTTAAAGACATAAATAATGTCCACAAAAAGGGTAAAGTAAGTTAGAGTCTGCTCATCTTGTGATGGAGTTTGTGGTTTTAATGTTCAGCTTTGCAACACCCAACCACGGTCACATCCTCTCCCCTTCCCTATGTGAGGTCTTTCCCAGATCTATGCCACCCCCCCAATCAAGTAGGATAAACAGACTAAAAAGAGAAAAATTACATAAATATAAGCTGTACGAAAAGTAAGAAGGTGGTGATCACTGTAGAAAACAATTGATAACATATGCTTCAAACAGGAAATTTAAATTACCCATAAAATAATCTTACTATCCAGATACATCAACTAGTGTCTTTTTCTTGTCTTTATCCTTCTAGTCTCCTTTCTAAGCGCATGTGTACATTTTGGGGGGAATGAAAAGTAACATATGCTTCAAACAGGAAATTTAAATTACCCATAAAATATTCTTGCTATCCAGATACATCAACTAGTGTCTTTTCCTTGTCTTTATCCTTCTAGTCTCCTTTCTAAGCGCATGTGTACATTTTGGGGGGAATGAAAAATGCACACATACTAGAACTTTTTTGGGGGGGTACTAACACACTGTCTATATGTCTCCATGTTGTTCATCAACATGACATTTAATGGCCACATATTACTTAGCATATTATTATGATAAATAATATTCGGTAAATCCATTGTTTCAGGGCATTTCAGGGTATTTTTCATCATAAATCATGCTTCAATGAACATCCTTATAGATAAATATTTGTTCATAGCCATGTTTACTCCTGTATGATAAATATCTCAAAGTGGAATTGAGATAGGAGGTGCTTGGTTTCCATGGGCTCTTGTTACAGGACACACCTCTCAGTTTCAAGCCGCTCCCCAAGGTCTCGGGCCTGAGCATGCTCAGTGGAAGGGAGTTTATCCTTTGAATGACCTTTCACTAGAGGTGCTAAAGAGCACAGAATACTCCTGAATATGTCTGGTGCATGTGATAGGATTTGACTAATGAATGTGCTCCAAAAAGAGACCAACTAAGCATGTGCAAGACTATGTTACATAACTGAGAACCACCCCCTTAATTGAATATTCATTAATATTCAATTAGATAGCAAAACTATAAAAGCCAAATCCCAGAAGGCAGGGTTGTTGCTCATTTTCCTGGAACCAACTCTCATTTCACTGGCCAATGTATGCTTCACTTTTGTGTTAAGCTTACTTTTAGCAGGTGGCTGCTCACTCTCTTGAGTCAGCCTGCACTCTGTACTAAACTTTGAGTAAGTATTTCTTACTTTTGTATTAAATTTGGGCCCTGCTCAGTCTCTGGGGCTAGGCCACACTCTGTGGGACCTGTATTTCTTATCTGTTACATTAAACCTATTCTCACTTTTTACCCTGACTCTGCTCTTGAATTCTTTCCTGTGGTGGAGTCAAGAACATGATGGGTTGAGGCCTGCTATCAGGCCCCTCAGACCCTTCCTCCAGCATCAGAATTACTTACATTTTTAAGACTTCTGACATGTAGCAATACATCTCATTTTTAAAATGACTTAGTGGCTTGTCTATCCAATGTAAAGCTAAGGATGAATGCAATTATGCTGTATTCCTCTAATATACACCTAGTTAAATCAGACAGTTAATATGTACCTCAAAAAATAAGTGGAAGTGAATGCTTTATAAAACAACAGCAATTAAAGTTAAGTGGGGAATCCTCTTTTTTATACACATATTTATATAGGAGGTTCAATATCATCCTAACTTTTCAGGGAAGGACATCAACTTTCAAAATAATTTATTCACTGAAATTTATCACTGATCATTTTTAAATCATACTAACTTGTGTGAAGCCCTCTAAGAATATGGCTCGTTTGCCATTTGTGATATGTACACCAACTTGTTTAGGATGTTTGGTGTTCTTTTCCAAAATAATTTATTCACTGAAATTTATCACTGATCATTTTTAAATCATACTAACTTGTGTGAAGCCCTCTAAGAGTATGGCTCGTTTGCCATTTGTGATATGTACACCAACTTGTTTAGGATGTTTGGTGTTCTTTTGAAATGATAAATTTCTATCCTTACACTTTTTCTGAGGCCTGGTTCTAATTACATGTTCAATTTCATCTTTTTTAAAATGTATATTATCACTAATAGTATCACTATTTAATACTTCATTGTTTAAAAACAAAAAAATCGTAAGAGCTCAAGTCAGACCAGCAGGAACATGGGGTGAACGAAAGTCATCTTACTCCTCAGATGCTATTCCTTACATCTTTGCATTAAATATTCATTTTACTGAATTCTCACTTTTAGAAAGTTTTACTGTGTTTAAAGCTATTTAAAGGCATACTTATTTTATGCTGAAAGAGATTCAATAGTCCTCTTAGGATTTTTAAGCATAATTCCCTGCGTCTGAAAAATGCTGCTTCTGTTGTGGCTGTCTTTGAATATCTGTGGTCTTCCTGGTAATGCACATCCTTTCCCTTATTCAAAATGGTTTCTATCCTTTGCCTCAAGTTTTAAAAATAGCGGTCCAATGTTAGAATTTGCACTCTACAGAACAGCTGCAAATTAACAGTCCTTGTGTTGACCTTACATTTGAAATAAAAATAAACCCGGAGTTCTATTCTTTGCCCATGCCTATTCAAATTTATATCATTTGTTAATTCCATAAAATATTCTCATTCTCCCATAATCAGGCAGTACCAGCATGTGAACTTACTGAAAAAGCAATTTACTCATACAATGTTTTTTTTTTTTTAAAGTTTTGTTTTTATGTTTAATAAATGTAAACATGTTACTTCAAGTCCTTTGGTATTTGAATGAAACAAATTGAAAAATACAGAATGATCTTCAAGATATACTCTTAAGAGAACAAATCAATGTGCAGAAAAGTAAGTGTGGTGGGGGAAAGAGTGTGATATAAGTTGTATGTTTATAAAACATTTCAGGAAGAGTACAAGAAAATGGTTGCAGTAATTGCTTCTCTAGGGGAAATGAGGAACTGAAGCAGAGTGGGAAAGGGGCTTACTTTTCATCATATTCTTTTTGTATTCATTTTTTTAGACCATAAGCTTACTGAGACCAAAAAATAACTGAGAAACAATAAAAGCAATATTGTGGTAAAACATTAAAAAAATAATAAAACAAATACTCATGGTCTGAAGGTACACATTAGTGAATACTGATAAGAATATACAGTACCTATATGTTACAATTTTACTTAAGAGCACCTGTATTTCCTTTCAAAGCAAAATACTATGATTAAAATATTAAAATAATGTATAGCTTTCCATGGCAGCATGAAGACTTAGTAGCAGAATGGTTAATAAAAACTATATTGCCTCTTTTACAAGCACAGAATCATGCATAAATATAGTGTATCAACATTTTTCTATGTTTTTGCAAAATTATGATGTTAGGATTCTTCAAAAACTAATTTGCGTTATATGGATACCTTAACAATCACCTTTACACAGCACAATGAACATATAGGGAGCAAAAGATCCCGTGGGAAAAGAAAATACATAGTTTGATTTGACATATAAAAGACTATTTTAGTTATGTGATTCCCAAATTAATCGCACAGACCTTTTAAAAAATTAAGGAAGAAAATGTCTTCCATCAAATAAATTTCCAAAAACGTAAGCAAAATTTTAGAAGAAAAGCCCAATAACCCAATAACTAGTAACTCAATATTTATTTTTCTCACTAGTCCTACGCTTCTATAATTAATGTGCCATATACTATCCTAAGTGCTTTGTGTACATTCTCATTTAATGTTCACCATTCGATGAGGTAGGTCCTGTCCCCATTTTGGCAGTTAAGAAAGAGATGCTTCATGGGATTGAGTAACTTTCTCAAGGTCTCAAAGTAAACAATTCTCTCAGTTTCACAGCTAAGCTATAGTTGACCTCAACTCTGTATCATACGTCCTGTCTCTAGGCCAGGATGCAGGCCTCCCAAATAAAATCTGAAGTCAAGCCATATAAAATATACACATGTATTTATATGATAATCATACAATAATTTACATTATATAGTATATACTTGTGAATTAAGATCTTGCATTTTAAAAGAAATCAGCCCCTTTAAATGTTGGGGAAAAAATTCTAGCTAGATCAACATATTTATCAAGAATAGAACCGATCAGTTCTGAAACACTATAGAATGCACTATTATTAGAATTCACTTTGCAATTGTAGAAATGAAGAACATGTCACTTAATCAGTACCCAAACAGTTGGCATTGAAGCATACATACTTGGATGCCTGAGACAACTCAGAAGAGCTTAGCTATCAAAGTGAACCCTGAAAGATGCAGCCCAGAGACCACCAAGATCACTGACCAGAGACTCAACAGGGCAGGTTATGTTGAATTCTTTACATAGATAAATCTTCCCATGGATTTTGACATGTTCTCTATATACCTTCAATAATCCCGATACTGCTTTCCTCCTCTTTTTTTTTTTATATTAATCATTTTAAGTGGAACCTTCTTTCACCAATAAAAGCTTTTCCTCTTCTAATCCTCAAGTGCACCCTGACACACCAAATGTATGATTTGGAAAGTTAAGGAAGCACATGCCAAAAAAAGAACTTTTCAATTTAGATGAAATTGGATCTGATCTTTTATCCTCCCTCAAATTTCTAA